ATTAAACAAGCACAACTTAAGCTTAAAAAATTGAGCTCAAGCTCAATTCATTAAGTAATTAAGAAACTCGAGCTTGGCTTGAGTCAACTCAAACACTTAAACAAATCCAGTTGAAGTATGAAATGAAAAATTAAACATGAATTAATTATCAATCAAAGAATGCTTAATAATAAATTTCATCAATCAAATATGTAAATTTACAAAAACACTAATAGAAAAATAAAATAAACTAATAGAAGATTGAAAACTCAAAAGAAATAAAAAGACAACTTTATACACAAATAAGGGGGGAAAACAAGAAAATAAATAGAAAAGATGGGGACATAGTATCATTTATTTCATAGTAAATAATTGCAATAATAAAGAGATGAAAAAAAACATAAATAGAATAAAAGAAGGGGAATTGACCCATAAATCCTAAAAGGTGAGATTGTAATCTAATCAGTCCCATATTTAATTTTGTATAACCAAAGGTCCCATTATTTGGGGGTGGATAGTTTTGCCCATGAACTTACTGTTTTGGGTTTGATGATATTATGTTTGAATGATGTTGGTGTATGTAACGTTTGGGAAAAGCACATTTATGATGTAGGTGTATGTAACGTTTGGGAAAAGCTTACTATAGCTTTTTAATGATGTGGGTATATGTAACGTTTGCTTTTTTATGATGTGGGTGTATGTAACGTTTGGGAAAAGCTTACTATAGCTTTTTTATGATGTGGGTATATGTAACGTTTGGGAAAAACACATTTATGATGTGGGTATATGTAACGTTTGGGAAAAGCTTACTATAGTTTTTTTATGATGTGGGTGTATGTAACGTTCACTTTTTTATGATGTAGGTGTATGTAACGTTTGGGAAAAGCACATTAATGTGGGTGTATGTAACGTTTGGGAAAAGCTTACTATAGCTTTTTTATGATGTGGGTGTATGTAACGTTTGCTTTTTTATGATGTGGGTGTATGTAACATTTGGGAAAAGCTTACTATAACTTTTTTATGATGTGGGTGTATGTAACGTTTGAAAAAAGCTTACTATAGCTTTTTTTGGGTTTAGTAGTGTATGTAAGGATGTCCACGTTATTTATGACCCACACGTTTCAACTACAAAAAAAAGGGTACATTAGTGAGAAAAACCATTCCATAATTACATAATGTGATCCTTCGGATCACATTACCAAAAAAATAGGACTTGGACGTCTATTAATTTTAAAATGGGACTTGGTAGACTACAACTCTCCAAAATGGGAGTTTCCAATAATTTCCCCATAAAAGAATTACAAGAAATCAAAAGAATGAGAATTAGACAAACAAATAGATCGTAGGGTATTAGGGTTGCAAAGGTGCGGGCTTAAAAAATTGAGCTCGAGCTCGGCTCATTAAATAATTGAGAAACTTGTTGAAATTAAAAATTAAACTCAAATTAATTTGCATATTAAGAGAAAATTATAAGCCAAATATTAAAAATTGCTTATATTATTAATAAATTTCATAAATCAGAAATGTAAATTTATAGAAACACCAATCACTAATAGAAAATAAAATAAATTAAGAGAAGATTGAAAACTCAAAAAGAAATATGTATAACCAAAATACAGTATTTCAAAGTAACATACTAACATTATTAAATTCCTGAATCAGATTTAGAAAAAAATAAACAAATAAAAAAGAAGAAAAAAAGTAGTGGAAAATAGTATATCATATTTTACGTTCAAATACTATAAAAGTATAAAAAACATAAATAGAATAAAGAATTACAAGAAGTTAAAACAAAGAGAATCGAACAAATAAACCTAAGCTATTAGCGCTGCAAAGTCGAGGGAAGCTTGTTGGCTTTCCGACTCAGTTAAATATGAATTAAACAAGCTCAAGTCAAGCTTAAAAAATTGAGCTCGAGCTCGATTCATTAAGTATTTGAGAAACTCGACTTTGGCTCGAGTCAAGCTCGAGTATGAAATGAAAAATTAAACTTGAATTAAAAGAAAAGATAACATTACATGTGCCATAAAATTAAAAATACAACATTCTACAGTAGTAATATAAAGCAATAAATAAAATGAAGGACAACATTGAACACCTTAAAAGAAAATATAAGTATAATGCAAAAAAATACATGCAAATGAGAAAGAAAGAAAACAAATAGAAAAAGAGTGGAAAGATAGTATCATATTTAGTGTATAATTGCAACAAAGAAGAAGGGAAGAATAGACAAAAGAAATTGAATATATAAAAAAATTTGCAGCCAAGTTGAGTCAAACTCGGGCTCCGCTTGAATCAACTCGATTAAACTTGTCAAGCTAGGAATGAAAATTTAAACCTATATTTAAATTGTGAGTAAAATATAAAAGAATACTTATATTAATAACAAATTTCATTAATCAAATATGTAAACTTACAAAAACACCAAACACTAATAGAAAAATAAAATGAAATAATAAAAGATTGAAAACTCATAGAAATAGAAGGAAAAAATAACTATCTGTGTATCATAAAATTAAATATATAGCATCCTACTTTGGTAATAAATAAGGAATAAATTAAACCCCAAGGTGTTGGCCAAGCGGTAAAAACTTGACAATAAGATTCAAGGTTTCAAGTTCGAGTCACCCCAAAAAACCACTGGAGGTTTGCCCAATCGTTAATTTTAGGACCGGATTAGTCGAGTTGCGCACAAATTGGCCCGAACATCCAATTATAAAAATAATAATAATAAATAAAATAAAGTACAACTTTGAACATCTTAAAAGAATAATTAAAGCATGATGTAAAATATATACACAAATAAGAAGGAAAAACAGGAAGAAAATGAATAGAAAAGGTGGGGAAATAGTATCATTTAATAGTGTATACACAATTGCAATAATAAAAGAGAAAAAAAATATATAAATAGAATAAAAGAATTACAAGAAATCAAAACAAACAAAATAAGACAAACAAATAGATCATAGGCTAATAGGGTTGCAAACATGCGGAGCGTAAAAAATTGAGCGTGAGCTCAGCTCATTAAGTATTTGAGAAACTCTAACTCCACTCAAATCACCTTGATTACATATACGAGTGGGGAATTCAAGCTTGAAATGAAAAATTAAACTCAAATTAATTTGCATATTAAGAGAAAATTATGAGCCAAATATTAAACTGCTTATATTATTAATAAATTTCATCAATCAAATATGTAAATTTACAGAAACACCAATCACTAATACAAAAATAAAAGATTGAAAACTCAAAAGAAATCAAAGAAACTTTACGTGGATCATAAAATTAAATATATAGCATTCTACATCTACAGTAGTGATAAATAAACAATAAATAAAATAAAGGACAACTACAGACAACTTAAATGAAAATAAAGGCATAATGTACAAAATATACACCCCGGGGGCGGGGGGGAGGGGGGTATATTATATCATATTTTAGTGTACAATTGCAATAAAAAAGAATAGAAATATATATATATAGTAAAACAATTCCAACAAAGAGAATCGATTAAATAAATATAGATATCTAAGTTTCCATGTGTGTTTGATACCTAAGTTTTTGCCAGTGTTACATATATATGTATATAATGTGATGAAAATATGCGTGACTGAGAAATACCGACACAGAAGTAAGGTTATATATGTATATAATTTGATGAAAATATTCGAAGTTATTCTAGGAAAGTGGTGTGTCATGTCCGAAGCGACACTGTATTAGTATACACAGTAAAAAATGTCTTATTTAAAAACAAAAATATAAAAGCTAGAGTTCAAACACGATTCAAACACTTGGCGGGAACACGTGCTTATGTTTAGACAAACATGACATACATTACAAGATTGAATAAAATAATTTAGAATCCAATAATTAAAAAAAAGCAATCTAAATTTTTACATGTTCTCCTCCTTATACTCTTCAACATTATCATTAAATTAAATATTTATATATATGTCATATAATAATTTTTTTATCCTCTGTGACAAGCTATCACTGTAGAAGGATTCAAGTATAAGCATGCATGAAATAATTTCTACCACAAATAGCTTTGTAAGCATTGAGTTAATCTATCGATGCATGGATCTAACTCTTCTGGTTCATGCCTGAATCCTGATTTATAAGATTAGTAATCAATTTGCTGATTCTCTCAATAGGTCAGCAGTTCAAGAGAAAGAGTAAGGTTTCAGAAGATTAGAGACACAACGTTTGATTTAGAAAAGATTTTCGTATTGGTTTTATAAATTATAGATACTAGTTATATTTATGCAGTCCTACAATCAGCCACAAATTTATAGGTTAAATATGCAGTATAAAGACATAAAAACAACTAAAGCAGTTCATATTCAAATTCAAAACTCCTAACATCGAAGTTTCAATCAACTGAAATGCATATAACAATCATTAGCAAAAATCTCTCAAAAACACAATTCCAAACATAAACCAAAACAGATTAATAATAGAAGAAGCATACTGATGAAATCGCTCTTAACAGTAGGATTTCTAGAACCTAGCACGAGCACCGCGACGAAGAGAGTACGATCATACGTAACAAGAATATCATTGATCTCCTTCTTGGACTGTTCGTCGACGTACTTCTTTGGCGATGATGCTCTGGCGGATGACGTAGATCTGAGAGGTTGTTTCAGAGGAATAGTTACAAAGGCGGAGAGAGAGAGAGAGAGAGAGAGAAGGGGGGTATTTATTGAGTTATGTTAGGGTTTGAGAAATTCTATTTCCATACATCACATCCTCTTTCTGTACATCATTTCTCAAAGCACACACTTCATAAATTTGAAATCTCACTTTTTACTCAATACACAACTTATTATACCAAAAATGCCCTAATCTCATTCATTCTTCACACCACCATTACCACCAGTCTCTGCCACCTCCAATCATCCCAACTGCCACAATTCCTATCCCGCACTAGTGGTGGCGACGGTGAGCGAGGCAGATCAGGGGTTGGGGCCCTGCGGTGGTAGAGGATGATGAAGATAAGTCCTAGAGAGAGAAAGCTAGAGAGAGAGAGAGTTGGGGGTTTGCTAGTTGTAGTCACATTAAACAAATGATAGAACAACATCAATTCATGACTTCAACCAAATACAAAATCAGAATATTTGAAACAACATATTGAATTGGAAGCAACATCTAATCATTTCAAGAAATTATGATTTCTAAGCAAAAGCACTAACATTTATGATTTACAGATCAAGAATTTTTTGCTAAATAGTTCCAATGCGTCTAAAACCTCCAAAAGGCTTCTCAAACTTGGATGTTCTTCCTGGAAACCATATGCTACATAAATTATTTTCTATTTGAGCAATTAAAGGAGAACTTTTTCTTGTATATTTTCCACTTCATACCTGTAAACAAACTGATGTATTATTATTGATTGTATTTGATTGACGTGTTGCCAATTAAAGGAGAACTTTTTCTTGTATATTTTCCACTTCATACCTGAGAAGAAAGAGTGAGTGCGACCTACCTAAGAAGAAAGAGAGTGAGGGCGATGGTGGAGATTGAAGGAGGAAAAGTCGGAAAGGAGCGACAACCAACGGAAGCCATGAGAACGGCGGCCGGCAGTGATTAAAGCCCTTGCCACCTCTGATGGAGAGAGAGAGAGAGAGTGAATTAGATCTAGGAAGAAAGATGGGGGGTTTGAGAGAGAGAGAGAGAGAGAGACGTGCGTGATTTAATATAAGGGTATTTTGGTATTTTTATTTTAGGACAAAAATATAATATAAAAACAATTCATTAAGTGTGTGGGCTGAGGTAATATGATGTGCGGAAATAGAATTTCCCTTAGGGTTTTGGGCTGGAGATACCGTTCATATTTGTTTACTGAAAATTACGAAATTGCCATTTTTTATCCGGCGTTATTGTAATTGTAAGTTTTACAAGGCTCATCTGGTTTTTTTTTCATTTTGGTAAATTACACTATCTCATCCCCCATTGAAATTTTAAAAATAAATAAATAAATACAACTAGTTCATATTAACATAAAATAATTTTTCATAAAATATAAGATTAAAAAGATCAAAATCATGGTTATTAAAATACCGATTTAAATGATCATACAATTTTACAATCCCATGATCATAAATAAGATTTTAAATTTTGTACGATTTTGATCATAAAACCATATAAAATCACACTACGATCTCGATCTTATTCAAAAAAAATTCTTACATATGTATATATGTCTATATCTACATCAAAAAATTGACTATAGACTTCTCATCCAAATGTATCCTCTAATTTATGTTAATATAGAAAATGAATTAGATAAACTAGGGTATGAAAGGGTACATGGTGGATATAGTTTTGGTGACAAAAATGAGACTGGAGAGAGTATCTTAGATTTTGCGTTGGCTTCTGACCTGATGGTGGCCAATACTATATATAAAAAGAGGAAGGATCACTTGATAACCTTTAAGAGTGGGTCAGTTAAGAGCAAAATAGATTACTTCTTAGTAAGAAAAGTGGACCGCCTAAAATGCAATGATTGTAAGGTAATTCCTGGAGAGAGCCTGGCCTCTCAGCATAGGATTTTGGTACTAGATTTATGTTTTAGAGGGCAATTCCAAGTTAAGAAGAATGGTGGGCGCCGTAGGACAAGATGGTAGGACCTAAAAGGGGATAAACTAGAAATATTTAAGAATAGAATAGATAAAGAAGGTACTTGGGACTTAGAAGATGATACTAACACTATGTGGAACTCGATGGCCAATTGTATGAGGAGAATCTCAAGGGAAGTGTTTGGAGAGTCGAGAGGGACGGGACCAGCTCTAGAGAAACTTAGAGGTGGAGGGAAGAGGTTCAAGCAGTAGTTAAGGCAAAAAAAGAATGCTTTAAAAAGTGACAGAAAGATAGAACTAAGGAAAACCTTAAGAGTTATAGATTGGCTAATAAGGAAGTCAAAAAAATAGTGAAAGAGGCTAAGTTGGAAGCTTATGATGACCTATACACTAGACTAGATAGTAAAGAGGGAGAGAAGAGAGTATACAAACTTGCTAAGATACGAGAGAAGAAAACAAGGATTTTAATCAAGTTAAGTGCATCAAGAGTGAGGATTCTAAGGTATAGGTGAAGGATGAAGAGATTAAGGAAAAATAGAAGAACTATTTTGAGAAACTATTAAATGAGGAACTTGGAGGTATGGCAATAGGGGAAGAAATAGCCAGTAATACGATAATCTAAGGCTATAGGTTCTATTATAGGATTAGAAACTTTAAAGTGGAGATTGTACTTAAGAAGATGAAATCAAATAAGGCTTTAGGACCAGATGATATTCCTATTGAAGCTTGGAAGTGTTTGGGTAAAAAAGGGATTGCTTGGTTGACTAGGTTGTTTAGCAAAATTTTGTTGACTAGGAACATGCCAGATGAGTGGACGAAAGTATTTTAGTGCCAATCTATAAGAATAAAGGAAATGTCCAGAATTGCAACAACTATAGAGGAATCAAGCTAATGTATCATATAATGAAAGTGTGGGAGAGGGTGATGGAACGCCGATTGCGAGATCTAACAGAGGTGTCAGAGAATCAATTTGAGTTTATGCCTAGTAGGTCAACAATGGAAGCGATTTATCTTTTAAGGAGAGTAATAGAAAAGTATAGAGAAAAGAAAAGAGGCATTTATATGGTGTTTATCGACCTTAAAAAAACATATTATAGAGTGTCCCGAGATATAATATGGTAAGTGTTAGAGAAGAAATGGGTAACACAAGGTTACATTGATGTGATTAGGGACATGTATAAAGGGGTGGTGACCACTATTAGATCACCTGTTGGAGAGACAAATGAATTTCCTATCACTGTAGAGTTACACCAAGGATCTACCTTAAGTCCTTATCTTTTTGCTTTAGTTATGGATGAGTTGACGAGAAATATTCAGGATGACGTGTCATGGTGTATGTTTTTTGCAGACGATATCGTGCTAGTAGATGAGACTAGAGAAGGAGTTAACATAAAGTTAGACATTTGGAGAAAAACTCTTGAATCTAAAGGATTCCAAATAAGTAGAACTAAGACAGAGTACATGTAGTGTAAATTTAGTAACAGTAACAATGAAAGCAAAGGAGAAGTGAAGATTGAGAACCAATAACTGCCTAAGAGTGAACATTTTTGTTATTTAGGATCGATTATCACAACAGCGGGGGCAATTGATGCGGATATGACCCATAGGATTAAAGCGGAATGGTGTAAGTGAAGAAGTGGGTCTGGGGTACTGTGCGATAAACGAATACCCACTAGACTAGAAGATAAGTTCTATAGAATAGCTATTAGACCAGCAATATTGTATGGGACGGAGTGTTGGACAACAAAGAAACAACATGTAGATAAGATGAGTGTGGCTGAAATGATAATGCTAAGGTGGATGTGTGGCAAAACTAGACAAGATAGAAATTTATTTTTTTTTTTTTTTTGATAAATAACAAGATTTATTAAAAAGTATCAAGATGACGCAAAGAATACAGGAGCACTAAAAGGGCAAATCAAAACCCACCTAACCAACTACATGATCCAAAAAATCTAAGAAAGAAGACAAATCTGGATCGTATTTACATTCCAACCAACTATACAAGGTCACTAAGAACCGATTCTGCAACCATAGCACCGACTGCTCAATATCTTGGAAAGTTCGCCTGTTTCGTTCCAGCCACACCAACTATATCAAACAGAAAGGCACCAACAACCACACCCGTTGCCAACGCCGCTGAACACGAGCCCCCCCGCCAACTCCACAACATGTCCACAACTCCCTTTAGTTGCACCCACATAATCCCAAAAAGAGAACATGCCAGCCCCCAAAGTAGCAAAGTAACAGAGCAATGAAGAAATAAATGGTCAACAGACTCTGCTTCTACACAACACATACAACAACGATTGACTAACAAATACCCCCGGCGAACCAGATTATCAATTGTGAGATTTCAGCCTAAGGCAACCGTCCATAAGAAAACCACCTTAGAAGAAACACAAGGCACCCAAATACTCCGCCAAGGAAACACACAACCCACCTTCCCCACCAAACTCCGATAAAAGAAACGAACAGAAAACCGACCTTTGGCACCCGCCACATTCCAAACCAACACATCTTCCCCCCTTCCCAATAAGCCCAACCTATATAGAAAGCCAAACAACACCCCCAACTGACCCTCTTCCCAATCCTGAACTTCACGCCGAAGCTGAATATCCCAAACCACCACCTCCCCACCCCCCAAATAAGAAGTAACCGTAGCCTCCCGGTCATTTGCAATACTAAAAATCAAAGGGAATCGCACCTCCAAAACCATCTCCCCACACCATCTATTTTCCAGAATCTAACCTTCTCCCCAGTCCCCACTCAAAAATTCACCCTCTCTCAAAACTCCCCCCTCCCCAGTCAAATTCCTTTCCACAAGCCTCGCCCATGAGACCCCAACACATCCCCCGACCGCCAATTCCCCTCAACAACCCCAAACTTAGAGGCCACAACCCTACGCCAAAAGCGATCCCCCTCACTAGCAAACCGCCATAACCATTTTCCTAACAAAGCCATATTAAACTGCACCAAACCCCTCACCCCCAAACCACCCACCTCCTTTGGGCAACAAATCTGCCCTCAATCAACCAAGTGATATCTGAAATCCTCTCGTCAACTTCCTCACAGAAAATCCCTCTGAAGTTTCTCTAAGCGAGCAGCCACAGAGATGGGAATAACATGCAACGACATAAAGTAAGTCAGAAGACTGCTCAACACACTCTTAATCAAAGTCAACCGTCCCCCTTTCGATAAATATTGTCGCTTCCAGCCTGCCAAATGACGTTGAACCCGCTCTACCACCCCATCCCACACCCCTTTTGCCTTAAAACTAGCACCCAAAGGCAAACCCAAGTAAGTCACTGGTAAATTGGCCACCTTGCAGCCTAGAACCGCCACTAATACTAGCAGCCTCTCAACCTCTCCCACCGAAATCAACTCAGACTTACTTAAATTAATCCGTAAGTCCGAAACTACCTCAAAACAAATTAGAACACATTGAAGGAAGCCCAACTGCACCTAATCCGCATCGCAAAAAACCAAAGCATCATCTGCATATAGTAAGTGAGACACCCCCATTACTGTCCCTGTTAACGAACCCACACGAAAACCCTGCAACAAACCTTCATGAATAGCCTTGAACAACAATCTACTAAAGGCCTCCATAACGAGGATAAACAGAAAAGGAGATAAAGGATCCCTCTGCCGAAGACCCCGATAAGTCGGAAAGAAACTGGCCAGAGAACCATTCACCAACACAAACATCCACACTGTGGAAACACAGAACTTCATCCACTGACACCATCTATCACCAAAACCCATCTAACCCATCATATAAAGCAGAAAATCCCAATTTACATCATCATAGGCCTTCTCGATATCCAGTTTACAGATCAAACCAGGTCGCCCGTCCCGGACTCGAGAATCAACATATTCATTAGCCACCAAAACCGCATCTAGAATCTGCCTTCCCCCAACAAAAGCATTCTGGGATTTAAACACCACATCTAACAACACACCTCGAAGGCGATTCGCCAACACTTTTGCTAGCAATTTATACACACTTCCAAGCAAACTCATAGGCCTGAAGTCCTCACATCCTCAGCGCCCCCTTTCTTCGGAATTAAAGCTAGGAAGGTCGCGTTAAAGCTCCTCTCAAACTGCTTGGTCATGAAAAAAGCCTCAAACATTGCCATCACATCCTTCTTAACCACACTCCAACAATGTTGGAAGAATGCCATAGTGAAACCATCTAGACCCGGAACTTTGTCACCACTCATCACCTTCAAAGCCCCTAACACCTCTTCCTTTGTAAAGGCCCGCTCCAACCCCTCCCTATCCCCTGCAGAGATAACATCAAATAGGACCCCATCCAACCCCGGCCTCCATTTCCCATCCGAAGCCCAAAATAGTCGTTGATAAAAACCCACAATGCCTCTCTGAATATCCTCATCAGTAATCAAATCTCTCCTATCCACCCGCATTCACACAATCTGGTTGGCCCTTCTATGGCTATTTGCCATTCGGTGAAAGAACTTGGTATTCCGATCCCCCTCTTTCAACCATAAACATCGAGATTTCTGACGAAAACATATCTCTTCCATACGAGCCAAACGAACATAATCCTGCTTGGTCGGCTCCCTTCTAGCTGCATCCGCCTCTAAAAGCCTGCTGGAAACATCCCATGCATCTAAGGACTGAAGGATGGCCACTACTTCCGCTTTCTGAACCTCCACCAGGCCAAAAACCTCCTTATTCCACTGTTTCAAATCCCCTTTGAGTAATTTCAATTTCTGAGCCAACATGCAACTAGAAGTTCCATTAACCATATAAGTAGGAATGGCAACGGGCCGGGGCAGGGCCGGGGATGACACTCCCCGTCCCCGATCTCCGAAGATTAAAAAATCCCCGACCCCGATCCCCGACGAGGAAGGCATCACCTCCCCCGCCCCTGCCCCCTAACGAGGATCGGGTTTTCCCGAGCCCGAAAAATCCCCGACAGACCTGTTCACAACACACGCACAGATCTATTCAACACACAAACACAGATCTATTCAACAAAAAATAAATAAATAAATAAATAAATAATCTATATATGGAATCAACAAAAAAAAATTCTTAAAAACATCATCAACAACATTTCTTGGTGTTGAAATTTTTTTTAGTGTAACAAAAATATAGACAGATACAAAAAGAAAATAGAGACAGATAGACGGTGGCGGAGGGAGGAGGAGGCGAGAGGGAAGATCTAAGTGGCAAAGGAAGGATCTGCTCAGATCTGAGTGGAGGAGGGAGGATCTGCTCAGATCTGAGAAAAAGGGAATCGACGGTGGTTGGCCGTGGCGGGATATGTTCCGATCTGCTGTGGCGCAGGGAGGAGGAGGAGAGAGGCGACGGTTCGGCGGTGGCCTGGAGGAGGAGGAAGTGACAGAGGAGGAGGAGGAGGAGAAGGAGACGGTGAAAGGCGACAGAGGAGGAAGAGGAGGAGGAGGAGGCGGTGAGCAGGAGACGACGACGCCATCGCCGACTGCGGAGAGAAGAGAGAGAGTGAGAGAAGAGAGAGAGTGAGAGAGACAAAGACAGATCAGAGGGGTAATTAACAAAGGAGGGTTATATATATGGATGAATGGAGGGGTATTATGGTAATTTTATTTCGAGGAGAAACGGGGCCAGGGACGGGCCGGGTCCGAGGCTGTGAAAGCTATCCCTGTCCCCGGCCCGAAACTAATCGGGGTTTCAATTTCAAATACCATCCCCGGCCTGTCGAGGGTATTTTTCGAGGAAAAACCACTCTTATCGGAGACGGGGAGTCGAGTCCCCATCGAGCTGGGTTCAAATTGCCATCCCTACATGTAAGTACTCCACCATCCACCAACCCTCTAAAAAATCTTCCGATTGCAGCCACATGTTTTCGAATCAAAAAGGCGTCAGCCCACTAGAAAAACCTCCACTGCCAAGCATAATCGGCCAATGATCTAACACTGGTCGAGGTAATCGACGTTGTACCACCTCCGTAAAATGCTCCTCCCAACCACTAGTAACCAGAAATCTATCAATCCGAGACATCTGTTGGCCATTAGACTAAGTAAAACTCCCCCATGAAGAGGCAAATCAACCAGGTTCAACGCATCAATAAAAGCACAAAACCCCCGCATCGACCCCTGCGCCCTACTACACCCCATCTTCTCCACTAGCCAGTGAACCAAATTAAAATCACCCCCCCACACCACGACTTTAACCAGCAATGCGCGACATCCACCAACTCACCCAAAAAAGCACTCCTCTCAGAACTGCGGACTGGGCCATACACCCCTGAAAACACCCACCGAAAATTGTCCTCCACACAACAAAATAGACAAGACACCGAAAAACCTCCTACCTCATCATCCTCCTTCACCACCACTCTCTTATCCCAACAGAGTAAAACCCCCCCAGCCGTACCCATAGCCGGTAAATATGCCCAAGCCACAAACCTACCACCCAAACCTCTCTCACCACATCTCCACCCAACACCTCCATTTTCGTCTCCTGCAAACACACCACATCCGCCCTCGCACTTCGAAGTACTGATCGAACGACGAGGTGTTTATCCCTCTCATTCAAGCCACGCACATTCCACGATACCACTTTTGACTTCATTTTAACAACAGAGGACCTCATCGCTCTCTTCTTGGGCCCCGTCCAGCCGTCTCCCCTCCATGCTCATAATTAACCGAGCACTCCAAATTTCTGAGCTCTCGCTCCCCTTTACGTTGTGCTACTACTGTCGTACCAGCCTCTTTAATTGGAGCCCCTTGCCTCCATGAGGTTTCCACTGCTGTGAACAAACGCATGAGTGTATTCAGGAATGGGTAGGAGTAACACCGATAAAAGATAAGTTGAGAGAGAATCGATTGAGATAGTTTGGTCACATTCAACGGAGACCAACAGAGGCAGTAGTGAAGAGATGCAATGCTGTAACGGTAGATGGGAGCGTTAGGAGACAGGGTAGGCCTAGATTAACGTTGTTTAGCTTTGTAAATAGAGATATGGATCTACTTAATTTGACTAACGAAATGGCCTTTGATAGAGCCGCGTGGAGAAGAAAGATTCAGGTAGCCGACCCCATTTGATGGGACTTAAGGCTTGGTTTGGTTTGGTATAGAAAATGAATTATATTAAATTTATTAATTTTTTTAATGATTTTAAAAGTATGTAACATAGAATATTATTATTATTGATATATATATTATCTTGTATTGAAAGTACCCGGGGTTTAGGTCTAATTTAGGCTGTCAACACAATCGGAGTATTAAAACGAGATAAAATATTCACAAAAATATAAGGGAAATTACATAGTAGTGGGACAGACAAATTTTTTTTACACAAATATGGAGAGGTGTGAGTGACTCACAGTTTTTCATTTGCATCCCATTACAAAGTCACTTGCACTCCACATGTTTTGATAATTTTTTTTTTATTCCATTGTGTTGTAATTCTCCCAAAATATAATGGTTGTGGCAAAACAAAATGATAAAACCAACACAAAGTTTTACCATGCATACTATACAACCTCCTCAAGTTTATTTTTCTAGACAAAATATGTTCAGAGAACACTACATAAAGCAAGATCAACATGTTAAACAAAAAACAGACTAACAAAAAATAAACCCCATATCAATCAATAGCAGTTCAAAGTTTTCAAAAGTTTAACATTAACAGAGAATCGTAAATTAACTGTCAAAACACGAGGCTAGAGAAGGAGTTAATACAAAGTTAGAGATTTGAAGAAAAGCTCTTGAATCTAAAGGATTCCGGATAAGCAGAACTAAGACAGAGTACATGGACTGTAAATTTAATAATAGTAACAATGAAAGCAGAGGAGAAGTCAAGATTGAGAACCAAGAACTGCCTAAGAGTGAACATTTTCGTTATTTAGGGTCGATTATCACAACAGCGGAGGAGATTGATGCGGATGTGGCCCATAGGATTAAGGCAAGATGGTGTAAGTGGAGAAGTGCATCTGGGGTACTGTGCGATAAACGAATACCCACTAGACTTAAAAGTAAGTTCTATAGAACAGCTATTAGACCAGCGATGTTGTATAGAACGTAGTGTTGGGCAACCAAGAAACAACATGTAGATAAGATGAGTGTAGCTGAGATGAGAATGCTAAAGTGGATGTGTGGCAAGATTAGACAAGACAGAATTAGGAATGAATGTATTCGGGAATGGGTAAGAGTAGCACCGATAGAAGATAAGTTGAGAGAAAATCGATTGAGATGATTTGGTCATATTCAAAAGAGACCAACAGAGGCAATAGTAAAGAGATGCGATGCTGTAACGGTAGATGGAAGTGTTAGGGGACGAGATAGGCCTAAATTAACGTTGGTTAGCGCTATAAATAAAGATATGGATCTACTTAATTTGACTAACGAAATGGCCTTTGATAGGGCCACATGGAGAAGGAGGATTCATGTAGCCGACCCTATTTGATGGGACTTAAGGCTTGGCTTGGTTTGGTTTGGTTTGGTTTGATTAGTACAAAATATAACATCATAACTGCCATTCTACCAGTCAATGCTCTTTGTAACCCTACTTTTCTAGCATTTTATCACTTTTAACAATTTTTATACTTTAGTTTTGCATTATTGATTTTTCGTTCTTATTTTCCAAAACCACCAAACAATCATTTTTTATGATTTTGAGCACTGTTTTTTAAAACCATAGACAAAGCCCAGCTCTGTACCTAACGCCAACAAGTTTAGCTGGCTTTAGTGAGAGCCGAACAAGTGATCATCCTATGGCTCTGTGATCGACAATCTCAGTCTTCTCATTCTTCCTATGCATTTGCAGCAAAAACTGCAATTTGGTTTTTCATTTTCAAACTTGGTTCTCACTTGAATTTCAAATGAAATGCTGTTCAAACGTTCCTATTCCATCTTTGAATTGTTAGAATTACCTGATTTCATTGGATTCCAAAGAGGAAAGTGTTCTTTACAAGCTCCACACGCTGGGATCCTTGTTGAATTTGCTAATCAAACACGGTATTGCACATAAAGCCAGAATCCTATTAAGCATATGAGCAAGCAAGTCAAGAAAATATCCTACACTTGAAAGTCCAGTACATCCATTCAAACAATTGTGCAACCTATCATTCATATAACATTAATTGAGTTTTTTGACGAATCCATAGTGACTCGAATACAAATTTCCCAAACCCAATAGTAGTTTGTGAATTTTGAATTTGAATTCATAAAACCCCATGCTAATAGAAATGAAGAATTGAATCCTGATGAAAAGAATTCGTGTCTTCATTCCACAACTTCACTGATTACTGGCACCGTGAAATGAGTCGTAGGAGTATACTAAGTTTTGGAATGAAAACACAACTTTATTTTACAAAGTAGTGTTTTTATCCCACGAATTTAATTCTTTATTATTTAATATAGTCATGTTTTGAAAACAGAACTTCGAATTTAAAATGGTAATATTTTAAAATACAATTTCACAAATTACATAAATTTGGAAAATAAGTTGAAAACAACCTGCATTAGGAAATTTTGTTTCCAAATCACTAAAAAAATCTCAGAATAAATCACTATGAACAATGTCATCATCCATGGCAACATCTCCAGAATTCTGAAAAAATAGATGCTCATATATCTATCTAATTCATGAAATATACACCACACTTCACACAAAATATAAACACTGATCAGAAGAACAATGTCTCAGAGGCCAAGCAAATCAAAATCAAATTGAAACTACGAAACACTAATCAGTGAACTCCAGTAATGAGTAATTGCATATACCTTAAACTGACACCACCGAAACCAGACAATCAAACCTCACCAAAAACCCTAATTACAAAACTTCACATCAGATACTTTGAATTTAAAAGCCAAAAAATGATGATAAATCAAAACATGCACAAGAAATAGAAGAGATTGAAGCATAAAAACCTTACCAGAAACCATAACTACAGATCTTCTCATCAAATACTTGAATCCAAAGGCAATGATGATTAAATCGAACCAGAAATCACAAAACTTCCCATCCGATACTTGAATTCAAAAGCAAAAAAAAAAAAAATTGATGATTAAATTGAGCTTGTACGAGAAGCAGAGGGAGAGATCAGAAGCGTACCTTTCCCTGACGGTCTTGCTGGTCCAGGAATGGTTCGAATCTGAGAGGGGCATATCCGTAAATTAACGTATGAGAATGAGGGCAAAAAAATAAAAAAAAATTGAACCATTTCTCGATTTGTGCGTGTCATCCTTGCGCAGGGACCATGCTAATCTTCTCTGTATCGTTCCAATTTTATCGGATGTCCCCGAAGGGACGCTCTCTCCCCTTACGCGATTCTTTATCAGGCTCTCAATGGCTCTTTGTTTTGTCGATGTGGGACAAAGAGCAAAGCCCAAAACTATTGAAAGAAGAGCTCTCTAAATCGGACGGTCAGTATTAATTTACTTCTCAGATTTAAAGGGTGTGATGATCCAAAATTTTGTCTCATTACCGAAAATCATGTGATATAATTTAACTATTGAATTTTATTTTTTTTTAAAGAATAACTTAAAACCCCACAAAAAAAAACAATTGATACTACCATTTATACATATTGAAAACTTGAATAAAATGATATGATCATATTGTGAATTGAAATAAAAAATTTGTGAAGATGATTGTTAATTGTAAAAATATCACATCTACATAATTTGCTTGGGGGATTCGTTATGAATCTTTTGTAAAACTATCTTTTTTTTCTTCTCCATTTGACATATGGATAGACTCCACTCGATTTCTAAATATCAAAAAAATTTGTTATTATAATATAATATTAATCACTCCCACAAAAAAAATTTATTGGTGGTATTATAGTTTAGTATACATTTTTTTTAATATACAAATTTTTAATTACACACATTCGCTTCATGAAAAGTAGCATATAAATTACCCATGCTATGCACGGATATAAATAAATAATCAAAAATTAATTTTTAAAATTAAATAATATTTTATAAAATTTATCTAGAATATGTAGCAAAAATGATTTAGAATCAATTAAATTTTATTCATTTTTATCACAGTTACATATAAAAGAATTTTTTTTATTATTCTTATGTCATTAATTTTGTAGTCTAAGTTCTTAATAACAAATATATGCCATAATTTAATTGGTAAAAATTAAAAAATAAATCACAAAAATTATATTTATGATAAAATATAAACACATTTTGTCTTATGAGTTTTGCATTTTTAATTTATCATATGATAGTAGTAAATTACATTTGCCAATATATTAATTTTTTTTTATGTCTTGTAAAGTTTAAAAATTTGTCTAGCATCAAAATTATAATTTATCTTATGTTATAAGATTTACTTAAAAATAAATTAGGATTAACTTGTGATATTAGATTTAAGCTTAACATTAAATTTACCCCAACTTATCCTTTTGAAAATTTATATTTTAATATTATATAATTTCTTTTGAACTTTCTTTTTAAATCTCAAATTAGATGTAATTTGAATTTGATTAAAATTTATTTTTAACTTTTCATCTACAAAAACTAACAATGAACATAAATTATTTTTTGAACATTATAAAAAATAAATAAATAAATATATTATCAATAAAAATAATAACAAAACATATTTTTATTTATCTCACTACTACATTAATAATAGACATTAATAATAAAACTCATTATAATAATACAACAATAATACATCAGATGATAAGTAACATGTGATAAATACATGTGATCAGAATAATTTCTGACAATTATACAAAAGCACCCAAAATTATATATAAAAAAACAATATATGATCCATATTCATTTTTTTTATATAGTAAACTTATTAATCTCAACCACACATTAGTTTTCTAAATCAATTCATCACCCAAACTATCTACTATTCTTTTTAGTAATATTCATATTTTCAAAACTCACTCAAACAATATTCTGGTCAAGCTCATCACCATCCTTGTTGTTTCCATACTCATAATCTCCACTAACCACTATGCAACTTCAGTCTAGCATAATTAACCTTACTATGCATGGGTATAAATAAATAATCAAAAATTATTATTATTTTTTTCTTAGGTTTTCTTATTCCATATATGGGTGACAATTTTTTTTTAAATCCATAAATTACGGAACAATATTCATTATTTAAAATTTTATTTATTAATGGGCAAATCAATTAAGTGTTTTTAATTTTTTACAAATAAAAAAAATTAAAATTTTTGTTAAAGAAATTAAAAAAAAATAGTCAAATCATAAAGAACAAGGTAAGACGCTTTGTTTTGTGAAAAACTCATAACTATATTAGGAATTTACATATAATAATAACAACAATATAAGTTGTACGGGGTGCAAATATCTGTCGATGTCCGTACTCCTTATATCCAAGCTGTGCTTCGCTCCGATCGACCTGAGAACACAATGACGATGAGCTACCCGGCGGTGTATTGTCGAAAAACCCTCCAACAGTCAAGTTAGCACACAGGGAGAGAGAGAAAAGAGAGGAGATCAAATGGTAGGTGAGTTGTGATCATAAGATCTTCCAGACCTAAGTATGGGGGCGCAGCACCATTTATATACCTTTTGTGCGCGCCTCTACATCCATTCACCTTTGGACGCGTGGACCTGCTCTCCTCTCTCATTCTCCCATATGTCAACGCAAATACAGCTAAACACCACCTAACAAAACCGCCAAAAGGTTTTGGCGCGAACGAATAGCACGGTTCCTTACCATCACACCAAGACCACATCACGATCGTGATATTCGTCCAGTTTAACTGGAGGATCTCGCTACGGCTTAGCCAACCTTCTTAGTTTTGACCTAGATACTGCTCGGTCAGACTGATCTGTGGAAGACTACACCAGTCTAACTCAGCGGAGCGAATATGATTAACTGGGCTAACAATCTAAGGCTGCTTCGACTGGACCAGACCAGGGCCCTGACCGAGCGCGCCCAGTAGCCGTATGAACCTAGTTCGGTCCAACTGCGCTTGGCCCAGCTTTGCTCGGTCCAGACTAGCTCGGCCCAGTGTCAATTCATGAAATCTCCCTCTCAATTGCCCCTTAATTCTGTCCGCACTAGTGTGACCGTGATTACCTTTTTTGGCCAAGACCACTAATCTGCTCGGTCGACATCCTTGACTTGCTCGCCGTGCTGACTTCCTTGCTTGGCTCCATCACTTACTCGGTCAACGTTTCGACTTTCTTGACTCTTCAGTATTGACACCGGTCTTATCACAGATACGTGTCATTTGCTCATTAACCTTGTGCTACCAACCCAGCCACCCCACCCCGTCTTCTCAGTTTCAAATTTTGGCGCCTCTTCTCCCCTTATACATACATCGTTTGCCCGTTCACATCTTTCCCTTCTCTGTTCACCTTCTTACTTCGACGATCCAGCAATCCAGAGCCACTGAGTAAACATTCTCATTTTCTACATTTCTTGCCTCTGCATCTCTTGCCTACATCGAAGCATCTCCCTAGTGGACTTGGTCTCGCCATTGACGTATCAGAGCACCTCCTTGCCTGGAACTCCGATCCTTACTCCCAAACTCATTAGTTCTTCGAATTCTCTTTCTCATTCATATTGTTCTTCATGTTTTCTGGGCTTCTCACGCATTTAAATTCAACCTCCTTAGGTGAGTCTAAAACACGATGAAAGCAGACCTTAGGCTCCGTATGGAGTTAGTCTAGGGTGTGATCTCAAAAACTGTTTTTGCCTCATTTTTCCCTCTACACTGTTTATCATTTTCTGCGATGAACAAGTGTAAATATGGAACTGACCGGGTTAGAAATCGCCGTTTGATCCAAAATTATGCCTTGACTGAGCAAGTCTTCTGTTTGAAAATCCTGGAGGCAAAACCAAGATATTAAACGCACGGAGCCGCTCAACCGAGCTAATATCTGGTCCGCTCGAGCGACTGAGCAAAAGTGACCGAGCTAAGATCGAGCTCGTTTGCGCGCCCGCGTTATCACTTACACTTGGTTTTTCACTGCAGAGTCCTAGGGGACTAGACACACAACATGGGCTTTCAAAGACCGAGCAGCCACCGTGCAAAACTTAATCAAACCAATTTTGCCGAGCTGGACAAGCCGGTCCTCCATGGAGCGCTACCACTTCCTTGTAGACACACCGAACACCCTGGCAGTATTCCGCGAGGAGTACGGTGTCCCCGCCAATGTACACTTAGAGCTCGGTGAAGAGGACATAAATTCGTAGAGCAGATTAGAGTCTTGCCCCTTCACCGTATTAAGCATGGTCGAGAAAGGGTTGCGCTTCCCGGTGCAGCCCCTCATGTGTGAATTCTTGAGATGTACCAAGCTAGCTCCCACTCAAGTATCCACCAACACCTTCAGAATAATAAACGGCGTGGCCGAGTTGAACTACCGGCTCAATTTGAATTTAGGCCTAACCGAGATCTTGCAGCTGACGTGCCCGGTTGGTACATCAGCCAAAACTTCGGTTCTTCTTGTAAGCCCATCTTCCTAACTGATCTATTCTACTAATATTGTTTGTACCGAGCTAATCACTTCTTTTTTGTTTTGCAACTATCAAAGAATTGCAAGCCAACTACCAGTATCCCAACGAGGAGGCAATCAGGGCCGTACTGAGATACCGGTACTGAGATTGCCACGATCTCCATGGTTATGTCCCTACCTATCGTTACTCGGCTCCCCATAGAAGCAAGGTGACAGACTTCCTCCGGGCTCCTTCTCCTCCACCTGACCCAACCTTACCAGACATCCCCTTAATACGATTGACCGAGGAAGAAGATATGGCAAAGAGGAGCCGGATCAAGAACTTAATCACTGCTACATCGACCAAGCTGCCGAGCGTTCCTTCAGCACCATCCGTTGGTCAAAGTTCGAGGACTGTGATTGCCCTTGCTTCCACAGTTGTGCCTCCTATTGAGTCTCGCCGAGCTAGCAAGCGAGCTCATTCAACCGACCCATCTGCCGAGCTTATGGCCGAGTTAAGCATCGAGTAAACGGTGTAGGAAGCTGAGCCGACTACACCGTGAAAGCCGGAGTTCAAACACCGAGGCAAGGAGATCCCGGCAACTACTTCTGCCAAGGAGGACAAGGAGCACCTTTTGGCCTTCGACTTGCCAAAGGCTTCGTATAAATGATCAAAGGCCTGGAAGATCAAAGTGTCCCAGATGATGCGAGCACTAGGGCCGAAAAAAAAGCCATTGAAGATTTGGTGGAGGTGCGAATCAGCGAAGACAATCCAGACAGGTCCTTCTTGTTGGGATCTAGCTTGACAATATAAGAACGACTGGAGCTAGTGGAGTTCTTGGTGGCGAATATTGAAGTGTTTGCATGGACGCCTTACGACATGCCTAGCATCGATCCAAGCT